CTGGTGGAGGCACCAGTTGTATAGGGATTCACTGACACGCTGGTTCTAGGGGCAGTAGCTCTAGCAGCTCTTACAGTATTTATGTAAGTCACAGTCACTGTTTGAGGGGAGAGTGTGGCAGTCAGAACCCAAACCTTAAAACTTCAGGTGATCTCCATGGGAACCAAAGAGTGGCAGTGGTAGAGTTTGTTTAGTCACACAAATCTTCTCACATACCTAGCAAATTGCATACATATGAGTGTGTGCTTGGAGAAAAATCCCAGTTGTCAGAAATGTTGGATATTGACATTGCCTACTTCAATTAGAGTACAGTGGGGTAACATTGCCAAGCCACTCTCAGTTGGCTCGCCACGAAACAAGCCTACATCCCTCTCTCTGCTCAACGTATTTGACCCTGGTTTTGTCTGCAACTTTGCGTAGCCAATGAAAATGCAGATAGTCCACTGATTGAGTGATTGGTTTGCTTGCTGTCGCACTTCACATGCTTGATTCTTTTATCAAGTTGATGTGTTGACGGAGAAATGTGCCACTATATTGGGGGAATTTGCCAGTCCTAGGGGAAAGCATTAGCAGCGGCAGTCACTTTGACTTTGTCAACAATATTTATTAATTTCTCTCTCTCTCTCCCTCTCTCTCTCTCTGTCTCACTCACACACACACACACATACACACACACACACACACTCTCTCTCTCTCTCTCTCTCTCTCAGCCCACCTTCCAAAAGAAGATGGACCAGAGACATGGACGACAAGAGTTTTTCTGCGAACACTAAATTCAGGGGCAGCTTTGTCCATCTTTAACTTTAACAGCTTCAATAAAATCAATAGCTTTCTCAAAATCACTTTGAACATACTTGTTGATTCCCTTGCTTGCTTTCCCCATAATAAAAGTGGTAAATCTAAGTAAAATAACAAATGGAAAATTAATAGACCTATGTGTGACTATGTGGCGAAGTTCCCCGACAATAGAGAATTTCCCCGACAAGGAGCAGATCTGTACAAACACAATTTTTTTTTACAGTAAAAGGGCATACAGTGCATACAAACGACAATAAAAATAGAGCAAATATAACATATTAATAATCAATAAAGCAGTTCCAACACAATTTGAGTAAAAATGTACTGCAACGGTAATACGCAATAGACACAGAAAGATAAAAATAGAGCAGGCGAAGCAGAGATTGATGGGGCATGAGAGGAGGAAAGGGAAGATGCATGCCTAAAACACCTTGATTGTACTTCGTCATAACAATTAATTTTACTGATTGGTTAATCAATAATTGACAAAGAACACGTTTCTGGACGCAAGTAACTTGACTTGACACTTAAACTAGAAACTCCTCCTTGGTAGATATATCGGATTTCTCCCATTTTAAACATAATTTTATTTTTTAAAAAATTTTTTTTTGGGGGGGGGGGGGGGGGGGGGGCAGATGGCGAATTTCCCCTCCTGGTGAAGTTACCCGGCTCTACTCTAAGTCTAAGGGCATATTGTGGTTGAAAATTCAATGATGAACACGCTGATAAAAAAAATAAAATTCAAATATCCTGAGTAGTAGGATATATGCCACCTTTTGCAACGGTAACTCAGGGTGTCAAAATAAACTTTGGAGAAAAACGGCCTTAACCTTAGTAGCCTACATGTACGTTGACCCAATTTTTAGCACATTTTTAACTTTTGGTGGTGAAGTACAGCATGTTGCAAAATTAATTAAATTAATATTTTTTTAAATTACTTTAATTAAAAAATATCTAGACTTTGAATATAATATTATTTTAATGTTAAATCTATTAAGAAATGGTTAAACGTGTTTTCTAACAGATCTAGATCTAGATTTTTTATCAGGTGCGCATTTTTTGGCCTTTACGCACCGTTGCTCAAAAATAGCTTTGCCGACAACTGCTACCTTTCTCCAGGCACATATAAAATATTTTAACTTTTCAAATCTATTGTGAAGCCTTGTCAAAATCTGAAATTGAATAACAGCTCTTCAACTTCGCATTTATGGGACCCATCCTAAGTTTCTCATTATTTGGTGAGGCAGCCCCAAGATAAGCATGTTGTTCAAGTTTTACATGCTTAGGATCTCTATAAAGACCAGCGTCTGTGGTGTAGCGGATAGGTGGATAGATGCATTGCTCTTGCACCCAGGAGACCCCAAGATTGATTCTGTAGTGGGACTAGGGTTGAAGCCATCCTTCTAAATAATCTAAACTGTGTCAATAGGGGCGTACAAAAACATCTACATTTAATTGAATCATTTTCAGGATCAAAGGATTATCTTAATGATTGCTGTTAGACAAGGAGAAAAAGTGCGGGGAGCGCGGTGGCGGATATGGCAATAACGCATCTGTATCTTTGCTGACATTCCCAGATTGCATGTTCCTATGGATGTGTGTTGAACACATTTAGTTTGTCAATCCCTATGTTTGAGTTATCTGTGCCCTGCTGTACCTAAAATAGAAGCCGTTCCGCACAGGCAACAAACGAAAGGCATAAAAAAAAAGAACAGAAGGCTTTCAGACTCTTTTCCCTGCCTCCAAGAACAGATTTCCAAAAAAATGGCTCCTATGAGCAACACCAATGACATGCCAGTATGTCTGGAGTAATGTTAACAGCTAATAGTATTTCATAAAACCAGTCCTCATAAAGCAGTCCATCATGAAATTCTAAAAATAATTTTATACTTTATTCATAAGAGAAAATCCAACAGAATAAACCAAGAACTCACTCACTTCATACACTTAGATCTATGCATGTACCCACATGGGACAATAACAAAAAAGATCCTGGTCAGCATGGATGGTAATTTTACAATCATGAGTGCACAGAGCATGGAGAATATTATGGCAAGAATACAGTAGACCCTATAATCCGCTTACATCGACATGCTCTTGGAAGTGGATTTGATGTCGAATATTATACATGTATATATTTGTCGATAAATGAAACATAAAGTCAAAGAGGAAAAAACAGGGGGAGGTCAGCGGTAAAAAGACAACACTGCTTTTTAAAGCTGGTTGCTTTCCTTGATTTTTACACAACTACATAGTGAAACAAACAAGAGACAGAGGGGAGGGGGGGGGTGGACTTATGGTACCAAAGACCGAGCAACGCGAGGTGCACACTACACACCAGCGAAAACTGGGAAAATGGAAAGGCGAGGCACTGACTTGCTGACCGTGGTACTTGCCAGCGACAGACTGAGAATGGGATGGGGAGTAAGCGATCGGGAGTGGGGGTAGGGAGGTGATGCCCAGTGCGCGAGACGCTCGCATCTGTGAGGCATGTACTGTGTTGGAGACTACACTGTGTAGGCCCTACATGACATACTAAAGCCTGGTGTTTCGAATAGGCTACTTGGCGGGTATGCAGACTTAATGAAAAACTAATGCGCTGACCGTTAGCTAGTGTGGCTTTTCTCCACGTTTATGTTCGTGGGCTTAGGTATCCAGGAAGCATGTCGATAAAGTAGAATGGGCCGAGAAAAAAAAGTCTATATAACACGAATTGTTTAGTGAAGATACTGAAAAAAGAATTTCGTAATTGAAAAATATGTCGACATATGAAAATGTCGATACATCGGCTGTTGCGATATAAGTGGATTATACTGTAATTTTTTTGCAAGCCTAATTATATGAATTCATCTTCATGAGGCAGCACTGGTACACTTGAAGTGAGTTTAGGAGCCTCTTCAAATGAGTTGACCCTTGCAGACAGCAGCAACATTTCTGTGATAAGTTAACAATTCACTGCACGCTATTCTATTGGGGTGCCCTCACAATCACAAAGCCTTTGCAGCATGTTCAAAGCCAGGAGGTTTGAAACTCGCATGCTCTTTGATGACATCCAAAGTCATTTTCCATTGAAACTTCAACAGTAACATCTATGCCAGGGCTTTCTAAAGATGTGTTTTAATCACATGTATACGGTAGAGTCCGCTTATGCCAAACATGGTTAATCCAAAAACAGTCGTAATCAGAAAGAAAAGAAAATCCCTGTTTTTTTCTTCTTTGTCTTTGTAAGACCAAAGTGATCCCATTTCTAAATTAAAGAGAATTTTGCGGGTTATATCACATAAGTTTCACTATAGCTTGTTCACTTTCGTCTGACTGCGGTTAAAACAAGGTAAAATAAAATCGTTTCGTTTAAATTAATCTTCTCCAATCTTTGCATTTGGGTCTGAAAGTTGGATGACCAACGAATCTAAAAAAAAGCCCAATCATAAAGGTCACCGCAAACTTGGGTTTCGACATGTTTATTTGATTTTGATGTTAGACTAAAGCAGGTAAAAAAATAATACGAGATAAAACAGCATCTACAACACTAAAGAGTTGACATATTTTCCTTAACCCCACACTTTAGTGTTCGCCTACGTTTCATGAGATGGGGTGAGTAATTTTTGAGACTCACATGGAGACGTCTAGACAGTCCGGGGATGAAATATGCAAGCTTACATTGAAATGTGGGAGCAGGGTGTAGTTGCTGTCTCAAAGTTAGCAATTTGTAGGCAAGGTCCTGTAAGTAATTTATTTTACCAATCCTGTGCCTGCTTTCAAAGAGCAGTTTTCAAGGTAGGACCCAAAGAGAAAAACATTTTGATTATTGGAGTAAGTTTTTAAAAAAAAATTGTTTAGTCGCTGGCCTGCAGAAGAGCCATGCAAAGTTTTGTGGACATAGGTAAATTAATATGAACTAGAATTTGTTTAAACGCAGACAGACGAAAAGGAACAAAATAGTAAGTTTCAAGAAATGCAAATCATCAAGTCTTACATGCTTCAAGATGGCAAAACAAAAGGAAGAGATGCGAAAATGCATGGGCGTCCATTGTGGGGCTGAGAGAGTATTCACCAACGTTCTGTTTGCCTACATTTATCACATGCATCAATAGGCTTACATTTGCATTCTATACAGTTTAACAAGGATAGGTCTAACACAGAAGACTCGAAATCAGGCATCTGTCAAACTGTGCCTGAGGTCCCGTTTTTTTCTTCTCTCCTTTTTATCTTTGTGTAAGATATTCCTCGAACTACGGATCCCTTGAACTACCGAGGCCAGTCCCGACGAATTCGAGCTATCTGCGTCACACTGTATATGGGCCTAGTGACGCAAGGATAGTGGATACACTTCTGTCATGTGAACTTAAGTTGGTCATGGCCTTATGAAGCTGATTCACATAGGCCCCATACATATGATGGCATGTGGTGTTTCATGATGTCACTGGAATTGGGCTTTCTTTCTTACTTCACTGCGTAGGCCCTACTCTCTCATTTGTCTTGTGTGACTGTTTGACTTTGACAGATTAAACAAGCTGACATTTTTAAAGAGAAAGCTTGCAGTTGTATTTCAGTTACTGTGAGGTAGTTGAGGAAAAACTTTCAAAAAGTGAAATTTACCGTAAAAATGGGTACTCCCAACTGTACGCTGTCAGCAAATGAATAAATTTGAGTAACCTGTCTCAACCGAAAACCTGGTTAAACCAAAGAATCTGGCGGTCCTGCAGATTTTGGTTCAAGCAAACTGTTTATGCCTGTCTTAGACAGGTGGCCATGTTATATTATTCCAAAAGATTGCAGCACCATGTACAGATATGAGCTTCTGGTCATCAAATGCAAAAAAAAAAAAAGAACTAGTGTTACACAGGCTAGGACTAGGAGGGTTGTACAAGATTTGACATGTTAAGAGCAAATAATATCACTAATTTTCGGAAATGTTGGACTGGAGCTGCATCTCAGCAACTTTATCTTATTTGGAGACATTGTCTGCCACTAGGGTATATTCTATTCAAAACGTGAACAGCCAATGATGCATGATATCGTCATTGCGCTAGAAAAATGGCATAACTCAGTGTTGTAATGGCATAACTCAGTGTTGTGCCAAAATGTAACTTGCCTTTAATTTTGTTTGGTGATATCACATATCTATCTTTTGGTAAAACCCAAAAAAAATGTGCTGGAGTCACAAGAAAAACATGCAAGACAAGTTTTACCATTATTAGATGATAATTATTAGTCTAGTAAAAAAGATTTTTCCATTTATCTCAAAAGTAGCAAAAAACGAGATCTGCCATTTTGCTAGCGCAGTGACCATATGTCCTGTTCAAAACATGACAAGTTCTCATTTAACAAAGTGTAGTCTACTTTTCTCTTTTCTCACTATGGTTTTTTATGCATACATGTACATAATGTATTATGGTCGTTCATATCCATAGACCCCAAGGTATCCGGTTCACAAGTTGATGATGTCTTCGTTCAACTGGTGTCAAAGTGCTCCCAAAGTTTCTGGAATTCTGCCATGAATTGTGAGGTCACAGCGAGGTCATCTGTAATCAGCACATTCTCCTGGTTCCCAGTGATAGCTTGGCGAGTCCAGTTGAATGAACCATTGATGAGAACTTGCTGATCTTTGATGGCAAATTTGTGATGCATAAAGAAACTTGAGTTGTTTGTTCGTACAGCAATCCCTGGGGATCAATACATATTTTTAAAAACCCATTATGCAGTGAAACTGTTAATTTAGAGTGAGAGTGAAGTGTGCATATATATATATAAATATAATAAGTGAGAATGAGTGTGTGTGTGTGTGTGTATGTGTGTTTGTGTGTGTGTGTGTGTTTGTGTGTGTGTGCCTTGCCATGAGAC